GTGGTTTTTTTCCTCCATTTCTTTAGTTTGTGATCTGTTACTTTGTCTCCGCATTTTCACGGCTTCCCTGAGTTGGTAGAGGGTAGCTTTGTGTGCTAGGTTTCCTATATAGCCCAGTGGCTCAGCCTTCAGTCACCTGAGGTAGACACTATTGGTGCACCTTTTTGTGGTCTGTGTGTACAGCTTTGTTGTAGTTAAATATTGGTATCACTGGGAGGAATTGATCTCCAGGTCAATTGGCTATATGTATCAGCAGTGTCTACGAAAGGAGACCTCTGCTGGAGGTAGCCTTATAGGACCAGACTTACAACATTGCAAAAGCCTCTATGCTTAGCTTGGATGGGGCGGAGTCTCAGGGCTGAGGAGACAGTCTTGGCTTCCCGTCAGCCCTGCCCTTTTGTGTGTACCTCCAGACCTCTGCCTTCCGCGGCTCCCCTGAGCTTCTGCCTAACAGTCCAGTTTCCCCCAGGCTTGTCCGGAACTCGGGTTCAGTGCAGTTGGAAATGGGTTCAGTGCAGTCAGGAGCTTCCAACTCTCTACTGCTAGGGAGAGCTAGCGGCAAACTCAGCAGTCAGTCTTCTTTCCGCATGCACGCCTCTAGACCCCTGCCCGCTGTGGTTTCCCCGAGTCTTCGAGTCTCTGTGTGCCTTTCCTGACAGTCCAGACTCCCTCCCCCCATATGGGTCCACAGGGTTTCTCCTGGAATCTGAGTTCAGTTTAATCGGACTGGGTTTCAGTGCATTTGGGGCTACCTTTCCCCTCCTGTCAGAGAATGCCAGCCAGGCACTCTCGCCCTTCCTCTCTGGGTGCATGTTTCCATACCTCAGTCCTTTGCAACTCCTCTGATTCTTCGTGAGCTTTTTTCTTTCCTTCTAGTTGTAGAATTCCCACTTTGCCAGCATTTCTGCGATTCTGGGTGATGTCCATTCTGCCTTTAGTTGTAGTTTTGAAATTGCGAGGCAGCAGTTTAGGTGTATATTTGTGCCGCCATCTTGGTTTCTCCTGATTTGTTGATGGTTGCCATTCTGATAGGTGTGAGATGGTACCTCATTGTTGTTTTGATTTGCATCTCTCGGATGATTAGTGAATTTGAGCATATTTTCATATGTATCTTGGCCTTCTGTGTGTTCTCTTTCAAAAGGTATCTAGGTCCTTTGCCCATTTTTTGATTGGCTTGTTTATCTTTTATTTGTTAAGTTGTATGAGTTCCCTATACATTTTGGAGATTAAACCCCTATCAGAAATAACATTGGCAAATATATTCTCCCGTGCAGTGGACTTTCTTGTTGTCTCCTTGATGGTTTCTTTTGTTGTGCAGAAGCTTTTAATTTTGATGCAGTTCCATTTGTTTATTTTCTTCTTAGTTTCCATTGCCCTAGGACCGTAGTCAGCAAACTGTGGCTTGTGAGCCACATGTGGCTCTTTGGCCCCTTGAGTGTGGCTCTTCCACAAAATACCATGGCCTGGGTGAGTCTACTTTGAAGAAGTGGTGTTAGAAGTTTAAGTTGAAAATATTTGGCTCTCAAAAGAAATTTCAATCATTGTACTGTTGATATTGGCTCTGTTGACTAATGAGTTTGCCAACCACTGTACTAACCCACTTCTGTGAGGTACTTATAGTAGAAAAGTCATAGATTCAGAAAGAATGGTGGTTGCCAAGGGAAGAAGGGAGGGGAGAACCAGTAGTTATTCATTGTATCACAGAATAAAGTTTCAAATTTACAAGAGGAAATGAGTTATATGGGGATGGATGGTGATGGTTGTACAACAGTGTGAAATATTTAATACCACTGAATTATACATTTAAAAATGGTTATGATGGCACTTCAGCTGCGGGTCTCAGTTGGAGTATTGTCCTGTGCACCAAAATTACAGGTTTGCTTCCTAGACATGGCACATATGGGAGGCAACCAAGCCATGTTTCTCCCTTCTCTCTCTCCCTACCTCTCTCTCTAAAATTGGTAAACATATCCTCAGGCGAGGATTGAATAAATAGTTATGATGGGAGTTTTACATTTGTTGTATTTTACTACAATAAAAGAAAATGGAAAAACTTTACTGGAAGTTTTGAGTTTTGTATTTATTTTTTGAAATGTAGGCCTCTTGAGAATTATTGCCCGAAGGAAGTACTCCTCCTGAGGGGACACTGTCATTGAGGACTGTATTAAATACCTCTACAAGTCTTCTCATCTTTATTTTTGGTGTTTTAATCTTTGATCTAACTTACCGTATTTTTCGGACCATAAGACGCTCCGGACCATAAGATGCACCAGTTTTTAGAGAAGGGAAATGAAGAAAAAAAGATTCTGAAACAAATAGTGTCCTAAAATATTTTATGTGCATTAAAACCCAACATCACAGTCATAAACACATGTAATCAACCCTGTAAAGTAAACAGCAGCATTTAGAACCATTTTAGAGCCGGGCAAGCACACACAGACCACACAGAGCCGGGCAAGTAAAAAAACTTTTTTTTAAAAGTATATGTGTAGGCTATATTTGGACCATAAGACGCAGGGACTTTTCCCCCCCACTTCTGGGGGGGGGGGGAGTGCGTCTTATGGTCCGAAAAATACGGTAAATGAAGGCTTACTCTGGGACTTTGTTATTTGTATAGCATAGTTGGAAAAATTTAATTTCATACTAAAAGTTTATCATGTTTATAATTATGCTAGGCACCTTTAAAGACAGATGAAAAAATAAACAGTATATATAGTCTTTCTTACTTTAATGGATTCTTTGGGGAGGAATTTATAATTTTGTACATTCAATAAATTTGAAGAGATGCATAAACAAATTACACTATAATACATACGAGAATTGAGTTTGATTCAGTTGATCAGGAACAATTGCATTAGAGTAACTTCTAAAAAGAAGGAAAATTTTAATAAAGAGGCAGGGTTAAACATTCTAGGTAGAACTATTAAGCAAAGGGATAAAGCTGTGAAGTTTTTGGACATATTTAGGAATTTTGAGTTCAGTTTTGTAGTAATGTAATATACATTAAGGAAAGATGGACTGAAAGTTTGGTTTGCCACATTAATGAAACAAAATGACTGTGTACATAGGATATAAGGAACTCATTTTCTGAGGTTTTCTTTTTATTGATGTACACCTGAATTTCAAATTATATTTATATATGATAGAAAGATTTGTCTGTTTTGCTATTGCTGTATTCCCAGAGCATACAGATGAGTTAAATGAATGAATTATTTTAGATTTCATTAAAAAAGGAGTATTTCAGCAATTGTATGTTAAAGGAACCTTGCTCTACTTGGTCATATTGTTTTTGGTACTATTATATGGTTCAGGTATTAATTGTTTTCACCTTATTTGGTTTGCAAGGTTCTCTTGGGCTCCTAAAACTATGAGCATCTTCCTTATGATGTATCTTCATTAATAGGCCTCATGTATTCATCTGTGTAAGTTAGTTCAGGTAGATCCCAGAATTCTTTGGTTTTCACTTTATATCTGTTTTCCTGAAGCTTAGCATTGCTTAATTCTTTAGTCTTGATTTTAACTATTTGTAGGAATTGACATCACTTTTAGAGTTTCTACTACTTTCCTTCATTGTATTCTTTTGGTTGTTAGATTATGTTATATAAAATTATTTATTTAGATACTATTTCTTCAGTGTTAACTTTGCTGTTACACATTTCCTGTAGTTTCAAATAAGTTATTCTTAATTTTACACATATTTTGAAAAAAAAATTTTATAAGTTGAATTAAAGTTCATTGTTCCTGTTTGTATTATTTAAAAAAAATATATGTATCTTACTGATTTTTTATGGAAGGAAGGGAGAGGGATAGAGAGCTAGAAACATCGACCAGATGCCTCCTGCACACCCCCTACCGGGGATGTGCCCTTAACCAATGTACATGCCCTTGTCCAGAATTGAACCTGGGACCCTTCAGTCCTCAGACCCATGCTCTATCCACTGAGCCAAACCAGTTTCGCCCTGTTTGTATTCTTTAGTACTTGCTCTAGGAATTATAATATGTGTCCTCAATTTACCATAGTCCCCTTTGAATTACTATAAAACCACTTTACATAAAGTGTAAGAATTTACATGATGGTAATTATTGTCTCTTTCCCGTTTGTGATGGTATTGTAACCTGTTTTATGTCTAAATATTGATACATTATAAATCTAATCATAACAGTTATTTTTATCTTTGCTTTTAAACAGCCAATCATTTTTTAAAAGCAAAGGTAAACAGGTCCCTTTATGCCCTGCTGAGAGTCTAGGGATGCCTCTTTTGTGGTAATAGCACAGGCATTCAGGCTGCAACCCCATTCTCTTCCCCCCTTCCCCCCTCCCCCCCAAATCTTTCCAGGATACATTAGTGGCCATTTTCCTTAGTTCTCTCAGAATACTAAAATTTGAGTAAAATAGCAATGTTGTTTCCAAATAATGTAATGAACAACCAACACTAATCCAAACATATGAACATTTGTGTATCTGCCCCAGCCTTTCACACCTCTGCCAGAAATAGCTACCTTATATTCTCTGTTTATGGTTTTACTTTAAAGAAAGAGAATGTTGTTTTCATTTATCAATAAGACTATATAAAATTGAAAACTTAAACCATGAGTATAATAAACTGTAGAACCAAAGAATTAGGGTATTTAAAGTTCATTTTGTATCAATCTGTAAGATGAGGCACAATGTAATGTCAAAAAATGAAATTTTATGTTGTAATATTAATATTTTAAAATAAAATTTAAATATGCATATTTTGATATATTGGAATAAGGTGACCATTTGTCATTAGGATGATTTTTAATTTTTGGGTCTTAAAATTTCATTGTTAAGTAATGAAGTGAATAATAATTTTTATGAAAGTAATTGATGATGTGTATTGTAGAAAATAAAAAGTTGGTCATATTACATATTATGTTAGTATAATCAGCAGTATTCAAGAGGTGTTGATAGTGTTAATTATAATTCATTTTGTAATCCATGCTTTTTGTCCTTATATTTTTGTATATTCCTACAGCTAAAGCAGTTAACAGGTCATGGCACGTTTAACAAAAAGACGACAGGCGGATACAAAAGCTATCCAGCATCTTTGGGCAGCCATTGAGATTATACGGAACCAGAAGCAAATTGCCAACATTGACCGTATTACAAAGTAAGTAAATTTAAACAAAAATATCTCTGTAAAATTTCATATAAGACTTCGGGATAAAAAATCCAAAAATACTTGTTTACTATGATAACATATATTACAAAGTACTAGTCACTTTTTGCCTTACAGGAGTATATAGTTGTTAGAAAAACAAATACAGAAACATACCCAAGCAACTTGTGTTTAGAGGTTTTATAAATGTTATTATTCACTGTTTGTAATATTACTTTAGTTATCAAAAATTTAACTCTTGAAACAAGTCTTTATATATGTTTTTTTTTAAAGGGCTTTTAATAAATCACTTTTATTTAAACTATCTAAAAACTGTTCATTATTGATTTTCATAAAGGATAAGCATGGTACCTATAGTAAATAACATCTTTTTAGTTTATAGCCCACTAACCAAGAATATTTAATATTTCATTTGAATGTCTAACGATATTATTCTATAGTTTAAAAATATAGTAAATAGATCTTAGTTATAAAAGGAAAGTTCTTTTCCCTCTAGTTTCCAATGCTATTATTTATCTTGATAGACCAACATTCAGTATAGAAAAAAATCAGACTGCTTTATGAATATTCAATTTTCATGTTAAATATTAGTTATGAGTTTTCAAATAGAACTTGATTTTATTATATTTGTTTTCCTGGGTATTTTTAAAGGAACGAAGCTAAAATTTTTTTTTAAATGTTTAAATATGTTTTTGGTAAGTTAGAATTTCTTCATACTTATTCCTCCCACACATTTTTAGATGTTATCTGTAAAAAAGGGAAAACAATAAAAGCTCATTTAATTAATTATGTTGGCCTTTATTAATAAGCAACAAAAGTGAGTACCATATATTTTTGTCTCTTACCTACATTCTGGTGGAGAAGATTATAAAGGTTAGCTGAAAGAGAAGCAACAGGAGAAGGTGATGTTATATATTGTTCTCTATCTGTATTCACACTTTGAATATTTTAAAGTTTACTATGTACAAGTCTTAACTCCTGTAGGCTAATGGAAGAAAAAAGGTGGGTAACACCTATGTGGAAAATAAAAATAAAAATAAGTAGCATATAATAATTAAATTTACAGTACTTTATATTTTTAAATAAAGCAACTAATTTGAGGCATGGAAACTAAATGCAAGTTACAGTGAAATAATATTGGTATAAAAACATTTTTAAAAACATCTCAAAGAATTAAAAGCTGAAAGTATTTTCCCATAATTGGGAATTTTTTATTAAAAAAACAAACATGTAGTTTATGTATATCAAGATTGTTTATAGAAGAAAGTAGAAATGAAATACTATTCTTTGGATTTAATTTTTAAAATTGAAGTCATTTAAGGCTGACTGAACTGTTTTTTCATGCTATTCTTTTTAAGCCATGCCATCTTTCTCTAAAAGCTTTAGAAAGACGGCCTCTAGGAATCTGTGGGAATCTCCCAGTGTGAGATGTACACAGTTTGGCCTTCAACATTGCTATTAGGCTATACTAGTGGTCGGCAAACTGTGGCCATGAGCCACATGCGGCTCTTTGGCCCCTTGAGTGTGGCTCTTCCACAAAATACCGCACGTACAGTGCAATTGAAATTCCATAGCCCATGCACAGAAGTCGGTTTTCGGCTCTCAAAATAAATTTCAGTTGTTGTACTGTTGATATTTGGCTCTGTTGACTAATGAGTTTGCCAACCACTGGGCTATACCAACCTGCTGATCTGGAAGTCAGAGAACTAATCCTACTGAAGTGGATGCAGGTGTCTTTGGATGATCATAAAATCTGTGTGTCCATACATATGTACACATGTTAAATTATAATAAAAAAGATATAAGGGTTGTTAACAGAATTGTACACCTCGTCTCATTTTGCATTATGGATTGTTGATAAACATTTTCTTTGCTCCTTCATCGGTACAGCGTTAGGGATGACAAGGCTTATTTTTTCTCATATCTTAAGGTCCATAGATCTTAAGATAAATACAAGTAAACTAGTGGCCCGGTGCATGAAAATCCCCAGCCCCCTCATCCCAGCCTGCCCCTCTCACAGTCCAGGAGCCCTCAGGGATGGGAGATGACCCAGCAATTGGGAAGGCGATGCCCCCATCACACCTCTGCTGCTGCCACTGCCAGCAGCGCAAGCCTCGGCAGACCCTGGTTACCTGAGCCTTGGGCAGCCTGGGTGGCTGTGCAGCCACCATCCGAGGCTTGCCTGTACCTCAGGCCGATCCTGGTAAGCTAGGGGGCTGAGGGGACTGGGGGATTCTGGAGCAGGTATACAGAGCGAGCGGCTGGACCAGACTGGGGGTGGACCTGGCCTTGCCACACGCCTGCCACTTGGGCGCTGTCATTTTGTGGCTGTGGGTGCTGCCATCTTTGAGGGTGGGGCAGTCAATTAGCATATTCCCTCCTTATTGGCTGTGGTGCCACATCTTTGTGAGAGCGTGATGGTCAATTAGCATATTCCCTCTATTAGGTAGGGTTAATTTACCTACCATATAGTCATTGTTTTATTACACTTATCCAAAGGTGAAAAGTACTTAAATAAACCAGAGGGTAAGTGTTTAACAGTGGTTCCCAGTGTTTTTCTGCTTCATTTCATTTGAGAGTATGCTGTTTTTCTTTTTATTAGGGGGGCATGCTTCATAGCATGCTGTACTTTTTTCTTTTTTATAACATTAATCACTTGTGAAATTACCTCCCTGTCAGACCATCAGCCCCAGGAAGGAACTATCTAGCTAACTGGCTAGCCCAGTGGTCAGCAAACTCATTAGTTAACAGAGCCAAATATCAACAGTACAACGATTGAAATTTCTTTTGAGAGCCAAAAAGCAACTTATGCGCATGGGCCACAAAGTTTCAATCACACTATACTGCACACTCGCATGTGATATTTTGTGGAAGAGACACACTCAAGGGGCCAAAGAGCTACATGTGGCTTGTGAGCAGCAGTTTGCCTACCACTGGCCTAGCCTAATGCCTTGGCTTGCTCATTATCATTATACTTGCCAAGGTAAGTTAGGAAGAAACATTGGACCATGACAGGAAGTCAAGTCTTTTGATTTGAAGCCTAATATTCCTATTCTGTATGCTAAATTTAGGTACTTTTCCAACATTAGACTAATTTTAAATTAAGTTGCTCTGCTTTATAGCAAATTCTGAACACATAGGTATCTTAATCTTTACAAATAATCTTAAATTACTGAAGGCTATAGTAAAGTAATAGAATGCATATGTAGTTATTATGTTTCATTCTGTATTATGATTAGTGAGTGATTCCATTATAAAAATAAAAGCTGCATAACTTCAAAAGTTTTAGGCTTTGAGGTCATGGCTCTTCATAATATATGGAAGCTTGGCATACCTGAAACACTGTAATTTACATATATATGGTGTTTTATTTATTTTTTATTTATTTTTATTTTTTAGTTCTTGTTTTGTTTAGGTTTCGTATGTCTTTTAAGCCACTTTTAATCTATTGGTTTCCTGCTCATCTTTTTTGTTGTTTTTCTTTGTAATTTATTTATTGAAGAAACTGATTCATTTGCTATTTGGTTTCCTATAGTCTGACTTTTGCTTATTGCATCTCTGGGGTGGATTTTCTCATTCCTCTGAATTACATGGAAATTGATATTTATCTAAAAAACTGAGGGAGGGAATTTTACTTTCCTCTCAAGAGGCCTTAATGCCTGTTGTTTCTCATATGTGAAGTTAGTAGCTTTGATACAAGAATTAAGGATTGAAAAATGATGGTAGTCTAATTTTATTCTTCTTATTTTTTAAATGGAATACTTCTACTTAAGGACGTAAGTGTCCCATTACTTACTTTTTGATTCATATTGTAAAAACTATCAGAGAATATACAATTACATATTATAATGGGCTGAAACCAGTTTGGCTCAGCAGTAGAGTGTCGGTCTGTGGACTGAAGGGTCCCGGGTTCAATTCCGGTCAAGGGCATGTACGTTGGTTGCGGGCACATCCCTGGTGGGGGGCGTGCAGGAGGCAGCTGGTCGATGTTTCTCTCATCGACGTTTCTAGCTCTCTATCTCTCTCCCTTCCTCTGTAAAAAATCAATAAAATATATTTAAAAAAAAAATAGAATAATGGGTTGTCTTCCTTTCTTTACCAGTTTTCAACATCGTATTCTCTAATGGTAACCAATTAGTTTTTTTAAAGAGTTATTTGAAATTTATGCATTTGATATATTTCAGTCCATTTCTGATGTAATCTTTATTGATGCTCAAAATTTTCCATCTTTGACCAGTTGGAGCTTATTTCAAGAGCACTTTCTGGCCCTCATTGTGCTCATTAATGCTAAGTCAGTCTCTTTAGGAATCTAATGGACAGAGTTTTGGAAATAAGTATAATTATAAAAGAAAAAAATCTCATGAACTATCTTCATGAATTCATATTGTTATTTTCCACTTGATTTTATGTCTGTTGGGTTTTACTTAACTCTTTTAACTAAAATCTGTATGTCCTTTCTTACACAGTAAGAGTCATATTCTTAAGGACATGAATAATAACATTTTGAAATATCATGTAATAATCACTCACTTGTTTTATCCAACATTATATACTAAGCTTTTGATTATAACAACAGTATAACAAATAATAGTTTCATGGAAACCATATGAATTGCTTCTTAGAATCAGTTGTACTGATTCTAAACTATCAGAGAATATAGCAATTACATAATATACTTTCTTCCTAATAACCATCATTTAGTTTTCTATAAGTATCTATTTTATGCTTATCACTAGCCCTATGTTGATATTTAAAGTTCATTTCCTTTTTTTTCTTTTTATATATATATATATTTTATTGATTTTGTACAGAGAGGAAGGGAGAGAGATAGAGAGTTAGAAACATCAATGAGAGAGAGTCATTGATCAGCTGCCTCTTGCACACCCCCCACTGGGGATATGCCCGCAACCAAGTTACATGCCCTTGACCGGAATCGAACCCGGGACCTTTCAGTCCCCAAGCCGACGCTCTATCCATTGAGCCAAACCAGT